GACTTTCCTCATTAGGGGACAGCTCAGCTGGCATTTTTACAATCACAGGAATGAAAACTGACCTGAGACCATGGTGTTCCTCTAATTGGACTGTATCAATCAGAGCAGCTGTATGGGCCACAGTATTAACCATAGGTCAGAGACATCAGGTGCAGGAGGGTGGGAGGCAGAGAACAAGTTCTGTGGCTTCAAGCCAACGACTTGAACAGGGACACACACCCCTCCACACACTGCCCACCACAGGACCTCTGCACTGCTGTCCCTCTTCCAGGGATACTTTGCCCTGCTGGCCTCACAACTTGGCTGGCTCCCACTGCTCCTCCATGTCTCTGTTCAGGGGTCACCCTCAGTGTCCCTCATCTTCCCTTCCTTCCCCAGGTACATGTTCTTTGGTTGTAGCATGTACAGGCCCATAGGTTTTTTTGGTAGGGGGGCTGGGTTTTCCTTACCCTTCCAAGTCCATGCCCTGGCCCTCTTGTTCAGGATGGCTCCTGCATTCATCCCTGAGCTACAATATCACCAACTGTGTGCACCATGGTGACCTCAAGGGCACACTGTGAGTGAAATTCTAGGCAAGGACTCTACCACTAAGCTACATTCCCAGGCTTTATGTGAGTGAAATTCTTATAAGGGAGAGAGAAGAGGAGATAGGAAATCAAATATGAGCAATTAGTTGTGAGGATTAAGTACCATTAGAGATATGTAGCAGAGGCAGAGGGAGCAGGCCATACTCCAGGGTGGTATCTGGGGCCTAAGAAAGCACCTGTGCTGAGTCAAACAACAGGAGGGTGCCAGCTGAGAGAGCACGTTTCAGTTGTGTGTCAGACCTGAGATAATCATCATGCTGTGACCACTTATATTAGGGTGTCTCAGCTGCTCCTGCAGGTGGGTAGCTTAGCAGTACCCTGCTTTCAACAACCCTGTCACCTTAGCCCTTAACTCTGCTGCACTTCCCAAGAAATTTCCAGAGGCAATACCGCCACGGCCCAAACAACACCGCCAGGCAAGCAGCAAGGCCAGCCCTGGGCACTCCAGACAGACCACAGCTGTGGCTACCATGTGGCTGTAATTTTCACTGAGAAGGTCTATGTGAGGCAGAGCAGCCTGTTACTTTCTGGGTGCTGGTCAGCTGTAAGCACTGTGAGAACATACTAAACAGTGTTAATGATAATGATATGTCTTTACTGTAAGCCCCCCATTGACATCGGGTGCTAGGTGATTTGACACCCTGATTGACAGCTACATAGACCTTTCTTGGCATCCCACCTACCTTGAGTGAGGGCTATCAGCCAAGCAGCTGGCTGAACTTCCCTCATGGCAGCCTGGCTGACTTGAACATCATAGACGCCTTGAGGAAACCACACAGCACCACAACTGCTTGCTGCCAAAGTATAACTCCAGTTCCTGGAGGCCCCATTTCAACTATGACTGCTCCAAACAGCCTGTGCCCAACTTTTTACTGTCACATACCTTATTGAACTCTTAAATTACCCACAACCATTTCTATCCAGACCAGTGAGGAAGCATTTTTCCAGTAGCTTAGCAGGCCTGTGACTGGAACAAATATCAGTCTTCATTTGTGTGAGGGGCTGCTGATTGGTGCAAGAGAAGCTACGCTGTGATTGATATTAACACAGTCCCTCATTTGTATAAAGGATGGCAGTAATTGGTGCAAGCTCTCCTACCACTTTCTGGCTATATAAACAAGCCTTTGGTTCACTTTGTGAATCAGCGGGGAGACACGTGTGACCCTTGGTGTGGGAACATCAGGCTGACAGGTAACTTGAAGGGAGGGCTATGGTGGCAGGACAGTGGAGGCAGCCATAGAACAGGCAGCAAGAACACGAGACAGCACAAGAGTTTCATGGAGTGACCAGGGAAAGTGACAAGGAATGGAAGCAACAGAGACAACACAGGAGGGCAGAGATGCATAGCAATGAGAGTAGGCTGAGAGCTGGGGCTGGAGAAAGACAGAAGAAAGGAGGCTGTGGAAATTTCTGGTTGCCAGAAGAGTTGCAGATAGCTGCCAAGCCTTAGGGGCCAAGAGCCTGATATCCAGGCCTGAGAGCTCTGATTCTTGTCACTGTAGGCCTAAGAGTCCCAGGGCTGCTAGAGTTGGAGTGCTGCCTTGCTAGAAGGTCTGCCCACAGCTGCTATGCACTGTTGCTAGAAACTGAGGATACAGAAGCTGCCAAGCACCAGGGCTGCTGGCAGTTAAGGTCCAGGGCAATAAACCTCTAGCTGGAGTGTCCAGAGCTATACGGTTTAGCCTTCTGAAGGGCCTGGACCCATAGACCTTTGGGTCTGACAGTCCATCCCCCAAGCCTCAGGCACTCATACCCAGAACAGCAAGCACTGAAAGAGCATCTTCTCACTATTCATGATTCCTATCTGGGTAGAGTATAAGGCCCTGGAAAGCTGTTGGTAATACTGTGAGCCTGTTCCTCATCTTGTGTGTGTGTGTGTGTGTGTGTGTGTGTGTGTGTGTGTGTACACATACACACTCAAGGTCAGACAGACCTTTCAAATGTAAATGTCACATCCCTCTCCAACATGGATCTCAGCCTTGGTGATCAATCACACCAGATCCCATGAATATATTAACTGTGACAGGCCAGTAATTCTCAGAGGCACCACAGTCACATCCAGGTTCCCAGAGGAGAAGAGGGAAGGGGTGTGGGCTCTGGCCAGGCAGAGGCAGCTGTCATCCCACCCGGTTGGCAATAGGGCTTTTGGACTTGAGAGATGTCCAAAATTAATCCTGGTTGTCAACTTGATGGAGTAGAAAATCACCGTACAAACAGATCTCTGGGCATGTCCGTGAGGGAGTTTCTAGATTGGGTTAATTGAGGGAATCCACCTTGAATATGGGTGACACCATCCCATGTGCTGGAGTCTCAGACTGAATAGAAAGGAGAATGAGCTGAGCAGCAGCATTCGTCTCTCTCTGCTTCCTGACTGTGGATGCCATGTGACCAGCTGCCTCATGTTCCTACTGCCATGATTTCCCCACCAGGCTGGACTGCATCCTCAAACTGTGAGCCAGAACAAGCCCTTCCTTCCTCAAGTTGTTTCTTGTTGGGCAATGAGAAAAGTGACTAGGCAGGAGACTAAAGCAGAGCCCAGAGACACAGCATGTGGCTCCACCAAGACCCCAAGGCCTGGATATGGCAGCAGCTCCCACCAGGGCTGGCCTCATCTAGAAGCTTCCTCCATCCTATTTGGCTGTTACTGGGCCCCAGGCAGGTGGAACAGACCCACTGTCTCTCTGTACATGATAGTTCATCTTCTCTAGCCTTAGATGTTACTGGCCTGTGTCCACTGTACTTAGAGGTTGGTTCCATTTGGTCCCTTAGACTAACTTCTGGAGGGAGGACTGTCTAAGGCATAGGGAAAGCAGGACACATGGAAGGGGACTAGATGAGGATTTGACCAACACAAGCTGATTCTAGGTACACTGGTGGCAAAGCCCCAGGAAGAAGGCTGGTTCCCTCACGCATACCACATACAGCCTCGGGAGGTTCACAGTCTAGTGTAGGCCTGGCGTACATGACCTCATTTGGCCCCATCAACCTCCATTCCTGAGCCTTACTAGCACAAGAAGAGCCTGGACCCTCAGGCTTCAAATCCAGTCACATTCTGGCTCAGCCTCTTCTCTCCAGTGAGGTCCCCAGCTGAAGGTTGCAGTCATGCCTGTAGGCCACAGTCATGCCTGTGGGCTGCAGTAATATCTCTGCCAGAGTGATGGGGCTGCAGGGACAAGTTCTGAAGGGGCCTTAGGGTGCTGTGGGGGCGTAACTACAGACAGTCCCAAAGCAACTGCAGTTCCTCTATTCTGTATTGACTCAGGACCAATACAATACAGTCAAGCCACCTTCCACCCCTCATTCAGCTGCCCACCACCAAACACCGCTGGCCTCCCTCAGGATTGTCCAGAGTCTGAGAAGCTGGTTCACTCCCTGCCTCTAACTCCTTATGGATTCTTCTCCATGCTGTCTTGTCCCCACCATCTAGCCTATTTCATCCCTGAGCCACAGGGCAGAGGGCTCCTAGAAGAGGACATCAGGCTGAGCCTTGGAGCCTTATGGACTAGGTGTGTATCCTTCCACCTCCGAGCCAAGACCACACAAGCTTTGGGAGTATCCCAGGCTGCCTCAGGGATCTTGCACCTGCAAATTCTTGCCTGTCACACCCCTGCCTTGCTGTCCAGGTTCCTTCTGTGGTTCCCTGGAGTCTTTCCCTGATGTTCTATTTGTGGGCAGTGTCCCTTGTCTCCTCCCTGCCTTATTTTCCCCTCTGCCTTCCCTCTAAGTGGCACCCTTTCTTCTCTCTAGTCACTCCCTCCCCTAGGTGCCAGGCTTTGGGAAAGCAGATCCTTCTTTCCTGTTCCCTCTGTGTCCATAAAACCTAGCTGCGAGATTCTCAGCACATGGGCTGGTGGTCCCAGGAGGCCCAGTGCCCTGGAGAAACAAGAGCAAAGGCTCTGGACAAGTGGCTGCATGTGGGCTTATGGGTGCTGAATCTCCACTCTACAACACAGGGGCTCTCTGTCCACCTTCTGCAGCAAGGCCTCTGTGCCAAGTTCTGCCTGGTAACTATACTACAGACTATCCCCATACTCCCAAACAGGGTACCCCTATGGGAATGGATTTTGGTGACTTTCCCCTCCAACCAATGTGATGGGAACAGTGCACAGGCAATTGGAAGACCAACTTCTTTCCCGCCATGATCACTTGGTACCCTGAGGATGAAACTTGTCTAGCAGCACCACCAGACAATGATGCAGAACATAATGGACTGGAGCATAAATGGATATACGGGCTCCATCTACTGTGATCAGTTCACAGACAGGACTTCTGGTCTTGTCACTGTAGAGATTCTGAGACGGGCTCCCATTGGGTCTTTGTCTTGGCTGGGCTAATACAGAGTTCTAAGCAGCCTGAGTTTCAATTGTAGGCAGTCTTAGCTCCCCAGAGCACAACTACCTTGGGCCCACTCACCCGCATCCCCAGCTCGATGTTCTCTGCACCATACACCTCCATGCCTGGGTCTAGCAGGCCGATGTCCCCGAAGTACTCCCGGTCCACCACAAATGAGCAACCGATCATGGCAGGTGTCCTGGGGAAGGAGAAACACCAAATGAAGGTGTCACCAGAGTGAGGCCCTGAGCCTCATCTGTCAGGTATTGAGCCTGTAAGACCCCAGCCTCTTTCTGCCCCACAGCATCTCTGCATTTTGTGTCCCTACCCACACCATTGTGCCTTCTAAGCAGCCATTTCTCTAGCTGCCATGGACTTGTCCTGTGTGCCCTAGGCCCTTCAGAACAGCACAGGCCAGAGTCCAAGAGCTCACTTTGGTTGTGTGATTTCAACAGAAGACAGTGACGTTGCCTTAAACACTGTTTCTCACCTGTGAATCCCTGGCCTACCTCCTTCAATGCTTTGTCCTGTCTGTGTATCAGTGTTCAGGGCTGCAGAGGACAGTTATGTAGGTTAAGCAATATTCAGTCTGAATGACCTGTGCAGCTATGGGCAACAGACTGCCAATTGTACCATTAGCCATACAATAATTCAGTTTAAATTCACATACTTAAAGGTGGCAGCAAATAGCCTTATGCTGTATTGGTTAAATCATTAATGGATGCAGTAATATGTTTTCTTAATAGGCATCAAAAATCCATCAAGGTGTGCATTCCTGGGAAGTGGTGACATGGAGAGGCCATGTCCAAAACAGGACCCAGAGGGAGTGGAGAATAAGTGGTTGGCCACCTTGGTGACATTGCACTCATGAATAGATGGGTGCCAGGCAGGATGAAAAAGAGTCCACAAAGAGGAATAAAAGGCAGTGCCTATGCACCACGGACCATAAGCTACATGTAGACCATGAGCCTCGTGCCACATTTTGATCTTCTAGGTTTTGCATGAAAGATTTTGCCTCAGAACAGATGCAATTCCTTCAACCATCCAGAGATTAGTCTCCCCAGGCCCAGGGTGCACTGAGGGACTTGGGTAAAGCCAGTGGAGGTGCCTCCAGGGCTCAGCTTCTCACTCCCCTGCAGACCCAAGTCTCTCCAATAAACAGAAGGAAAAGACATTGGTCTGCATCATAATCTAATAGAAGCATTCTGCCCTCAGTGACTCACAAGGTAGAAATAAACACCCATTTAAGAAGGACGGTGGCATTAAAAAGCAATTGTTCTTTTATTTGTGCAAAGATACAATTTGTTCTGTGATTAGGTTTTGTTCACAAAGCTAACAGTAATGAAATTTTAATACTGCCTTTGATTTTTAATATCCAACACTGGATCATTAAGGTATGGTCCCAATGTACAACAGGTATGTCTCTCATCTTCTTAACAACAATAATCTCAGGGTGATTTCTGACAAAGAGAAGAGTCAAATTCCTACCAAGGCTATTATAGCCGGTAATGACTTTTTATTATTGCTCAGTTCCAAAATAAACTTAAACTCATGAGGCAACAGTGGCAGGATCAGCTGGCACCGAATTTATTTGCATGAGAAATTCTCATCATGATTACAGAAGAGGGCAGAACTGAGGGATGCCTTGGCTGAAGGATTCTCAGGTGGGGGTGTCCTGGTCATGAGAGGGATGACTCCCACTTCTGGGTCATCCTGAAGCATTTAGGGGACAGCAAGACATAGCAACAGGTCCTCTAGGGTCCTAATCAGGGTATTTGCTTATCTCAATTCCTGACCTCCTGCTTCTAGTTCTGTCTTCTGGGCTTTTATGATCTGCCAGGCTCCTGTGGGTTTTGTTGATATATTAAAAATGGATCAACCCAAATGGTTTCTGTGGTTGACTGGTTAAACAAACAGTGGTCTCTGCATATGGTTTTCAGCCATAAAGAAATATGTCCTGCTGCCAAGAGTCAGACCACACCATGGAATGGCCAAGAAGAAATTGCCTTTTGATGATCACATTTGGGCCCTGGCTCATAGGTTCCCTCACACACCTCTTACTTCTCTTCCCTATGTCTCTCTCATTTGCTTCTGTTGATTCTAGCATTGTGTAAAGCTGGACCCAAACATTCTATTCCAATTATATATTTGGAAACTGCAGAGGTGACTCTGAGACTTCCTGGAGCCACAACCAGTGCTCTATGGGCACCTGACATGCAGAAGCTATGGCTCTGAGCAGAGACCAGAAGCAGTCAGTTCAGAACCAGTTTTCAAAACTGGGAAAGTTTTATTGTTTGGCTGTTGGAAGGTACTTTTTCCTTAGGAACTGGTCACTTTTTTTTTTTTTTTTTAAAGTTCTAAGACAATGTTATTAGAGTTTAAAAGAAAAACCCCAGGACAGCAAGATGTAAATTTTGGCAGCTCTCCAGAAGAGGAAGATAAAGAGAAAAAGTCACGTGATTTAAGTTGACATGGTAGACAAACATGTGGCTCATGATGGGGAGAAGGGCTTCAGAGAAAGAGCAAAGATATAAAACACGTTGGGACGTGTTAGAGACAGCACACCAGCAGCAGGAAGAAAGACAGAAAAGAAGAAAAAGGAAAAGTTGTGCTTTTCTGAAAGCCAGGCAGAGCCGCATGGCAACTCTGTTGCAATTGCATCAGGGGCAAGCTTTCTGGGAAAGAAGAGTATATTAACTCACTAAAGGGTTAATTATTCCTCCCATCTCTTTAGCATGGCATTCAGTGAATTGAAATCTTGAGGGGTGGTCCATTAGTCAGGTGATTGATTGGTCCAACTGGATTCATTCTTCAGGAAGGAGACAATGGTATGTCTCCACCCACAGGTAGATTTCATTCTTTGGCCTGTACACTTTTGAGGAATCAGCATACATCTTGTGTGAGGGGAGGTGATCTTGGTCAGAATCATGAATAAACAGTCCAGATCATCAACTGTGAGAGAAGCCATGCTTGACGGCGATTTTGCCTGTTCTTGACCATACAGAGTGAGGGAGGTGATGTCTGTCAGGGCTCTGTCTGGTGATTCCTGGTCCTCCAAACTGAGGAGAGTGATGTGTGACAGCATTCTTCCTGTTACTCCAGAGACTATAGAGCTAAGGAAGTGACAGTCAACAGGATTATTCCTCTCCTGTTGCTCCTGATGCAACACTTATGAGGGAGGCAATTTCTGACAGGATTCTCCCCAGTCTCTCCTCATACTCCAGTGTAAGGGAAGTGATGTCTGACAGGACTCCCCCCTGTTGCTCCTGATACAACACTATGAGGGAGGTGATTTCTGACAAGATTCTCCCGTCTCTCCTCAGACTCTAGTATGAAGGATGTATATGTGACATTATCCCCCCATTGCTCCTGATGCAACACTGTGAGGGAGGTTCTTTCTGACAGGATTCTCCCTATCTCTCCTCATACTCCAGTGTGAGGGAGGTTATGTCTGACAGGTTCTCTCCCCTGTCTCTCCTCATACTCCAGAGTGAAGGAGGTTATGTCTGACAGATTCTCCCCTGTTGCTCCTGATCCAACACTGTGAGGGAGGTGATTTCTGACAGGATTTTCCCCAGTCTCTCCTCATACTCCAGTGTGAGGGAGGTGATGTCTGATTGGATTCTGCCTTGTTACACTGAAGCAGGATAGACATCAATACAAGGACAGTGATACACACCAGATGTATCACCATCCCCAAGGGCAAACATGAGGGAGATGATATCTAACAGGATCATCCTCCATGATGCCTGATCCTCCAGAGTAAAGGAGATGACATCTAAAAGGGGTCACTGGGTCATGAACATTTGGGTTGTTTACACATTGAGTCTGTTATTTTAAAAATTGCTGTTTTAAGCACTTATACATAAGCCTTTTGGTGGACTTTTTTCATTTATTTTGACAAACCTGCCAGGACAGAATTCTGGATTATAAACAAAGTTTAAAAAAAAATTTTTTTTTTTTACAAGAGACTGCCAGTTCTCTAAAGTGGCTTTCCCATTTATTATACTTCTACCAGGTAGGCATGAGCTTCCACATTTTCCACCCCTTAGTATGGTCAATTTTCATTTTAGCCATTCTGGTGGGTTTATAGTTGTGTCTCATGGAGGTTTCAATTTGTATCTTTTTGACTGGGGTTTCTGTCAAGCATCTTTCCAGTGGCTGGCCATGTGCCCATCCTCTTTGTGTGGTATCTGTTACACTGTCCCCATTGGTTAGCTGGTTTCTAGCATAGGGTTTAACAGCTCCCAGGTGATGCTAATAAGAGGGTTTGGGAACTGCAGTCCCACAGGACTTAATCAGGCCAGCAAGCTTGTCCTCCACTGCTGCTTGGGCATCCAGAGTCTGCCAAAAACTGTGGGAGATGCCTCCCGTTGGGTCTCAGACTTTTGCTGATTTCTAAAATGTCACACACAAAGCATTCATCTTGCTCCTAATTGGGACCATAAAATGCATTTCAAATGAAGAAAAATAACCTTGAGACCATCACTCCCTGCTTCAGTGAGGCCCAGGGGGACCCATTTGTGAATCTTGTGCTGTAAAGAGCTCCATGTCTGGGTCTTACTGCAAAGCCCATAACCCAGTCCCTGCCTAGTCCATCACAGCAGTCAGGCCCAGTTCCAAGCTCCTGGTTTGTCTCTGGAAAAACAATCATGTGGGCCTGAGGTGAGGGTGTGTGTGTGTGGGGGGGGGTTGCCTTGGCAGCTTTGGAAGCTCCTTAGTCTTGTCATTTTGAAACAATTCCCTCTGAGGTGGAAGCTTTTTGACCCCTTTTGTGAAATCAGTAAAGTGAGAGTTGAGACAAGTGATTTCATCTCCCAATGCTGAGTTTTGTCTGGATTTACCACCAAGAGCTCTTTGCCAGTGGAGAGGAGATGCGTGTCTGGCCTCAGGACTCCTGGCAAGGTGCTTCAGTAAGCTGATTCTACTGCATGGTTGAGCTGTGCAGCACCCTGGAAGGCCCCTGGGTACCCTCCTAGGGGAGAGATTGATCCAAGACTAAGCCACAGGCAAAGTGGCCTGTTCCAGCTAGAACGCAGCAGTTTGCAGCAGGAGGGTATGGAGGTGGTCCCATCAAGCCTCCAAGATCCAAGGCCCCAGGGGGAGATGGAGCAAGATGGGAAATAACACCCAGGGCCCAGCAAGGCCTGAAAATATCCATTCGTTCCAAAGACAGTGCTAGAATCTAGGCAGGTCCCCAGGAGAAAACAGAGCAAGCCACCAGATGCTGAGGTATAGATTTCCCAGGGGCTCATCCGATGGTGGGGATGGGTCTGAGGAAGGGCCTGAAAACTACGGAAATTCCGTCATGATAGAATCACCAACACAGTCACATGAAGAAAATTGATCCAGTAAAAATAACATTAAAAGCCAGCAAGATGACAGGGAGAGGCAGGGTCTCCCCCAAACGAACTCATGCTCTTGGGGATAGTGGCCCCTGCTCAGCGGAGTCCATTACTGCTTTGGATAAATGGGATCCTAGTTCTGGAATGTTGGGATCATGTATTTTTTAAAATGTTCAAATCCAGGCCTGGAGAGACGGCTCAGCGGTTAAGAGCACTGGCTGCTCTTGCAGAGGACCCGGGTTTGATTCCCAGCACCCACATGATGGCTAATAAATGATCTGTAACTGCAGTTCCAGGGGAATCCAATGCCTTCTTCTGACCTCTGCAGGCATTGCACGACATGGGTATACTTACATACATGCAGGCAATGTACTCATCACACAAATAAGAACAATAAATATTTTTTAAAAAAATGTTCAAATCCCTCTCTTTGGGTCTAAGGAACTAAATCAAACTAAAAGCAAATGCTGTTCCCGACAATGTGGAGGTCAGAGTGTTATCCTTAGAGTGCAGCATCCATTGGCAAGGGCTGCCCTCCCTGCTCGCTGTTGCCTCCTCCCTCCCTCTGTCTCTTCCTTTCTCTTTCTCTATAGATGTCTTTCCCTGTCTCTCAGTCCATCTCTTTCTGTTTCTGTCATTCTTTATATCTCTCTGTTGCTCAGTCTCAGTCTCTGCCTCTCACTCTTCTCTCTGTCACTGTTTCAGTCTGACTCTCAGTCTTTGTGACTCAAATTCTTTTCCTTAGTGTCTCTGTCTCTATCTTTGTCCTTCAGCCTTTCTCTCTCAGACTGTCTCTGTTTCCGTCTCCAACTCTGTCTCTGTCCACATCTTACTCTCTCTGTCCCTGTCTCTCTCTCATTCTATCTCTATCTCTGTCTCTCTTCCTCTCTGTAGCTCTGCCACCTCTCCTTCCCTGCTCTGATCTGACCTGGTTCTTTTAGGCTTGGAGACAAGTTAGCCCTGTGAGGTTTCCTGACCACAGTTCCCCTGCAGTGCTGGAAGCCCCTGTCCCTGTGAGATGCACACTCTTTTTTTTATCTGAGGCCAGTAGTCTGCAGCTCCAGGCTGGGGCTTCTTCAAGGGAATACCCTCTCTCATCTTGAGCCACCCTTGGTGGCACCTCCCCACTCTCATGCTATTCCTGGCTCACCTGATGGGTGCCGACTCGTCACCTCGGTCCAGCCAGTCCTGTGGGGGGATGATGTACATGCACCACAGGCCCCAGTTGTAGCCATGGGCAGCACTGGCATACTGTTGCACCTCAAACGTGCTGTACTTGATGTTGTCGATGGCTGGCAGGATGATGCGTCGACGATCTTCCTGGATCCTTGTGAGGGCAGGCTCAGCCCTGGGGGAGGTACTTGGCCATGAGCAAGGACCATACCAGGACCCTCACCCACCCGGGAGAAGGGGCTTTGCTAAGTTACAAGTGCAGAGCCTTCAGCTGGGTCTGGTATACTGTCAGTTCCCATCTACTGAGCATAGGATCCAGCTGTGTCAGACCTGGATGATGACTAGGGAGGGCTCTTCTGAGGCCCTGCCCTGATGGAGGCCTTGGCCTTTTTGACTGAACACTGCTGAGCACAGGGATACCTGAAGGTTCCCCCGTGGAGTCATCTGTGGCCCTGTTGCTCCACGAGAGGCCTCTCAGCCAAATCTCCTTCTCCCCTTTATTCCTGCACCTGTGGTAGGTACATCCATTTGCAAGTGTTAACTGAAGACCTATTGTCTTAAGAGATTGGTATTCATTCATGAAATTAAAAAGAAAAAGTATCCATGCTTCATGAAGCTTATATATACTGTACACAGTGCATAACCTACCCAACAGGCTTTAGTTAAGGTGGATGAGGATGATGAGGCTTGAATAGAGGATGTATGAGAGAAGAAAGGCATTGTAGGGTACAGGGAATGGGAAGAGCTCTGCAGTTTTAGATGGGCGTCCAGTGTGGGAGGAGGCCTGATACTGAGGTGTGGGGATAGGCATTTTCCACCAACAGAACAGTAGTACTGGCCCCAGGCTCATGCCCAGTGCGCATAGAGAGCTGGTCAGGAGGCTGCAGGAGAGGCGCTAAAGCCAGAGAAGAAGGGCCAGAACAGCTGGCTTTCTCATGTTCTCCATGGCATCGACTGGGCTCACACCTTGTGCAAGACCCTGAGGGTGGCAGGGGTAGCCCTGGCCCTCAGAGACTCACTGTCTACCACAGGGCCAAGGTGCCCCTCAGAGGCCTGTGTCCAAGCTGGAGTCCACCTAGAATCTGAAATCAAGGTGACTCATGGATTGAGGCTGTGTATGATTCAAGGATGGAAGGGCTAAGAGTCAGGGCATCAGGGGGAGGGGCCAGCCCCTGACCCTGTCATGGACAGCCTTGAGTTCTTATATCTCTGAGGGAGTCCATGTAGACCTGCCTCCCAACTTCTAGAAAAGGATGAATTAATTAATTAATTAGTAAAGTATAACAGAGAGACTGCAAATGCCATCCATGTCTGTTAATGTGCAAGATCTACAATGGAGGCCATGCTGGGAGGGTGCTATTTGCAGATAACTGGGCTTCCAGTTGTGAAAATGAAAGTTATACCAGTTAAAAATTGCACTTTTACTGACAGATTTGGCTCTCCCAAGTGACCACCTCAGGGAGCTGATGACATACTGTCAGCTGTACACTGTACAACCCATACCACAGTGTGTGCTGACACTAGTGGGAGATGGTGATGCGTAATTGATGCTGTAGGATACAAGGAGGTGACAGAATCCTGGAAAAAGAAGTTATGTCACAGAGTGGCAGAGGAAGGAGGCATGGGGTGTGAAGGGAACTGAAAGCAGAGGAAGTCAAGTCTGTCAAACACCTGCTGAGCACAAGCAACAAAGTTGTGGTGCTAGGGTGGCTGATGCAGCTGGGGTGCTGTAGCAAAGAAGGGGAAAAGCTGCATCTCAGCCACGCCTACCTGAGAAGAGAAACCAGAGTGAACCAGGGGGTTCTTGGAGGCATCCTGAAACCCCCAGTGCCTGATCCTGGGACCACACACAGGTGGATGGCCCATCCACTTGTGCATTGAGCACCTTTGCAGCACTGTGTCTCCATTCCTCACGTTGACACCACAGTGAAGTTCTGGGTTTTAAAAAATGAGTCAGTGAGTGGGACAGTGAGATGGTTCAGTGGGTAGAAGCATTTCCTGCCAAAACTGGCAACCTGAGTTTGATCCTTTGGACCTACATGGTGGAGGTGATAAGGGAAGAACTGATTCCCACAAGTTATCCTCTAACCTCTAGTGTGGGATTGTGGGACACACTGTGGGACACACACACACACACACACACACACACACACACACATACACTCACACACAAAAATAATTAATTTTTTTAAAAGAATTGGGAGTCTTGAAGACTGGAGAGATGGCGCAGTGGTTAGGAGCACTGGCTGCTCTTGCAGAGGCCTGGGTTCGATCCCTAGCACCCACATGGTAGCTAACAACCATCCGTAACTCCAGTTCCAGAGGAATCTGATGCCCTCCTCTGACCTCTGTGGGCATTGCATGACATGGGTGCACTTATATACATGACGGCAATACACTCATACACATAAAATAATAAAATAAAATAATATAAAAGGAGTTGGGAGACTTGACACCAAAACCTGAGTTTCAGTTTCTTTGCAAAACACAGCAAAATGGACACCTGGGTATTCCCTGTGGCTTGGCTGATAGGTGCTGATCTGGCCTGGGGGGTGTCGGGGAGTCCTTCACTGTGGACCCTGAGGGGCTCTGTGGATACCTTTCTCTGGGTTCAGACTGAGGTAGGTGCCACTCTGGGGACTCTAGGGCTTTCCTGTCACTGTGAAGGTCCTAGCCAGTTATCAAGGTTCTGGGACAGGAGTGTAGAAAGCTGATAGGAGGCCATGCAAAGACCAGTAGAGGTGGAACAGCCACATACTGTGGGATGACTGGAGCCACAGGAGCTGAGAGATGGGAAGCCTCCTAGGAGCCTCAGAGGGACACAGCCACAAAGCACCTCAATCCCAGGCTCCAGAGCTGGCAGTGGACAAATCCCAGCTATCTTCAGCAGCTAGTGAAGGAGCCTTGGTGGTGGTAGCCCCTGGTCACTGATAAACCCTCTGCCCCACTGTGCTGTCTGCATCCCATGACTCCTCGGGGCCCACTCTCACTTCCCACAACACCTTGGCCTAAATTGGTCCTAGCTTCCTGGCTCATGGTCCCAGTTACTCATGTGACACTCATGTGTGTGATGGCAGGTGCCACTCTGGGAACTTGACAAGCACAGAGACACTTAGTCCTAGAGCAGAGCCACATGTCAGGCCCTATACCCCTCTTCACATGAGAAATGGAGGCCACAGGTAATGATCACCAGTCACAGAAGAAGGTGTCACACAGCCCACATGGAGTCATAGCTGGGAGTCTGTCTGTCCCCTCTTACCTCTCCTACCTCACGGCAGGGACCCTAGTTACCAGAGAGGAAATGAAAGAAATGGGAGGAGCAGCTCTGCATAAGCATGAACCTGTTACTCTGTCCTGTTCAGTTCCTGCCAGAGCCATCAGGAGGGACACAATTTCCCGTCAGCACAGGACAGGAAGCCAGGTCTGACCCTACTCCTCCCTCCCTTGACATGGCTTCCCCAGCTGTGGGTCACTCTCTGGACAGAAGAGTAAACATAAGCCCTAGAATAGAGATTCTAGGATACTCGGTCCCTGTGACTGCACTTATATACATAAGGGGCTCATACTCACACACGCCTGTTCAGGGCAGCTGGTCTAAGGGGCAAGCAGGGACAGGTCACTGCCTTCCTGGGTCACAGGATCCAGATCCACCCTGGAGCGGTGGGCAGACTTCTCTTTTAATGGCTGCCTTGCACATCTTCTAGCCCATGATCACAGGATTGGGATGCTCTTTAACTTCATGGTCACAGAGCCCCCTTGGTTTCTCATTTGACCCTAGTCCTTCCCCTGAGTGAGAAGCATTATCTAGAATTTCTTGAGCTAGAATTTTCCAGATGGTCAAGAAAGTACTTTGTCCTGTGCTAAATGGCTTGGCCTGTCAACTCATAGCCCATTGCTGGAAAACTTTCAGAGCCTTACAGCCTGCATATCTGCACACAGCCCTGCCCAGACTCATGTGCTTTCTGACCTGAACCTCCATAGGATATAGGCACTATGTGTCCACCCACCCTGGCCCTTACCAGCCAGTGTTGAACTCCACATGGGCGTCAAAGAAGCCAACAATGGGGGCTGTGGCCACCTTCCAGCCCTGCAGCCTTGCACGGATCAGCCCTTCTCGCCGACTGTTGCGCACGACTTTCACCAGACCTGGGTATCTCTTGTGCACATATTGGTCCAGATTGAACTTGAGTTCCACTGGAGGGGGGAGAGAGACATGAGTCACCTGGGATAAGGCCTGAGGCCACACAAACACAGCTGAGGCGTTTGTGCCCCAGTCCAGATCTGTGTTTCATAAGCATGCTATGAGGTCACATGGGTTTGGATCGGGTGAAATTCAATATACTGGGGAAACCATGGAGGGTAAAGACTCCAGTCATACGAAGCTGGTTTAGTGGGAAAAGTAGCAAAGAAGAAAACAAGAGCAACTTGGATCAAAGTGGTAGAGGCAGCAGAGGCAACAGGACTGGCCACTCTGCTGCAAACAGGAATGAAGTCCCTGTGCAGATGAGGGGACAGACTGTGAGGCTCCTCCACACAAGGTAGTAGCTTGGTCATAGCGAGGAAGGAAGCTCTAAACATTGCTGCAACACAGAGGGACCTTGGCATAGTGTTTAGTGACACATTAGGCACTAGGCAAGCCACTAAGGACATTCGGACAGTTGGTTTGATTGTCTTTATGAGATGTCTACAGCTGTCAAATCCACAGAGGGACAGCAGGAAGGTGCCAGAGACTGAGGTAAGTGGGTATTCAGGACAGTTTCAGTTTGGAAAAATGAAAGAGTTCTGTGGCTAGATGTAGCAACACATGCCTATAATACTAGAACTTAGGCAAGTGAGGCAGGAAGTTATCTGTGAATTTGACACTAGCCTGGGCTATATAGTGAGTCTCAAGCCAGCCTGGGCTACCCTATATCAAAAATCTAGCCTACCAGGGTAGTAGTTCACCCTCCAGTGGCTCAGTGGTTAAGAGTACTTGCTACTCTTACAGAGGATTGGAATTTGGCTCCCAGCACCCATATCAGGTGGCTCATAACCACCTGTAATTCCAGCTCTAGGGAATCCAACACCTTCTTCTGGTCTCTGCATGTACCTGCATGCACATGTGCACACACACACACACACACACACACACATACACAATTAAAAATAAAATCTTTTATAAAAGACTCCCCTGCTCCCCAAAAAAAGAGTTCTGAGGTAGAGGTAGCAGTTGACCAACATGAATGTCCTTAATGTGGATGATCTTCAGTGGGCCCTGGACCTTGTGATGGTTAATTTTGATTGTCAGCTTTACAAGATCTAGACTCACTATGGAAACAAGTCTCTGGGCTTGCCTGAGAAGAGCTTTCTAGACTGGACTAATTGAGAAGGGAAGACCTACCCTTACCATGGGCAGCACCATCCCATGAGATGGGAGGCCTGGGTTGAATGAAAAAGAGAGAGTGAGCTGAGCATGATTTTTCTTCTTCCTGACTGGGTACAATGTGTCTCACACTCCTGCTGCCATGCCTTCCCTGCTGTGATGGACTGCACCTCAAACTGTGAGACAAAATAAACCTGTCTGTCCTTAAATTGCTTTTGTCTGATATTTTCTTCTAGCAATACATAAAATTACTAATACATGTCCTAAATCCATTGGCAGTGGCCTTGAGAAGAGGCACAAGGGAGGACTGCATGCCAATGAAGAAATGGAGTCAAGAGTCACAGCCCAGAGCCCCACACAATGCTTCTTGCATTGGAAGGCAGGAGGATGCTTACCAAGGAGCTTCTCTTGTCCTCACTGCCATCATGGACTGTTGTCTTAGAGGTGGGCAGGTCAATTCCTTGGCTTCAAGTCGCCAGTTAGTGACCCTTGGCTGGGGTAGCCACAGGAACCCACACCATACCAGGGCCAATCCACAGCTGCAGAGCTGTGTGCTTAGCACAGCACCAAACATATGCAGGGCATGGCAACCACTTACCATTGTCGCTGTTGTCATCTACCAGGATGACCTCCTTCAGGAGCTGAGAGGGTGTATGGTTGACCACACTGTGCACAGAGCGCAGGATGACTGAGAGTGCCTCGTTGACAAAGATGAAGACCACAGAGATCTGGGGCAGATCCTCAGAGTACATTATCTGTCTGCACCTGTGGGAGGCACTGTGGTCAGCAGAGGTATGGTAGGCACTGGGAGCGGGTTGGTCCCTGTGGAGGCCAATCTGGCAGGTTCTGCAACCAGCAGAAGAGCAGAAACAAGGTCGCTGATGGAAACCGTGGAATGCCACAAGAGGAAAGAAGCAATCATATCCCTTTGGAAGCTGCAGCTTTCCACGAGTTGAGCCTGTGCCTAACTTCTGTGGCCTTTCCAATGCAGGAGGCTTAGAGGGACTTTCTAGGTCTGCTGCTCCCACATTGTGCAGCAAACACTGGTCGGGAAGAGGACCTCATGAGGTCCAAAGGAGGGAAATGGTCTGGCACATTGTCCCCTCAGTGTCACTCTAGCAGTGCCTATGGTCTCAGAGCAGAGAGAGCGGGTTGTGGACCACAGACTAGAAGAGTCCTGCCCAGCCAGCGCCTGTCACCTGATGTTCACTCAGGCAGGATGTGTACCACCCCACCCCCTCCCCTTGATGCAAATATCTAAACAAGGGTGGCTGAACAAAGAAAACTGAGCAGGAGATGCTGGCTGATAGGAACAAATCCCTGGGGCACCCATAGTCAAGTGTACAATACAGAAGGAGGAAGCCTGTGCCCCTAAAGCCCTGTAATGGAACAGGATAGATGCACAGGAGAGGAGGAAACAGGGAGAGTGCCAGGACTCTGTGATTGGAGGCCAGAACAAGGGTTAGAGGGCCTTGTAGGTACAGGGCAAGGGAAAGGGTCAAATGCTTTAGGAAGTGAAGGCAGTTGCTGACAAACACACAAGGGTGAGACAAACAGCAACCAGGGGAAGCTGAGGCAGGAAGCAGGAGTTCAGGGTCGTTCTTGGCTACATACCAAGTTCTAGGCCAATCTGAGCTACATGATACCCTGCCTCAAAAAAAAAGAAAGAAAGAAAGAAAAGAAAAGAAAAGAAAAGAAAAGAAAAGAAAAGAAAAGAAAAGAAAAGAGAAAAGAAAAAGCCAACCAACCAAATAACAACAACAAAATCCAGGGGCTGGAGAATGGCTCAGAGGTTAAGAGCACTGGTCTGGCAGAGGACCTGGATTAGGTTCCCAGCATCCACATGGTGGCTAACAATCATCTGTAGCTGAAGATCCAGGGGAATCCAATACCCTCTTCTGACCTCTGTGAGCACTGCATGACATGGGTGCACTTACATACATGCAGGCAATACATGCATACAAAGAAAATAAAAACAATAAATAAAATATTTTTTTTAAAAACCAAACCAAATGCTGGGCATGGTGGTGCACACCTTTAGTCCCAGAACTCAAGAGACAGAGACAGGCGGATCTCTGTGAATTTTAGGCCAGTCTGATCTACATAGTGAGTTCCAGGATAGCTCAGGCTACAGGGAGACCCTGACTCAAAGGACAAAAAAACCCAAACCAAATAAGAAAGGATAGAAGGAAGGGAGGGGGAAGAAGGAAGAAAGGAAGGAAAGAAGGAATGAAAGGCATGACGGGAAGGAGGGAAAAGAAGGAAGGAAGGAGTCAGCTAAGATGGCTTATACTTGTCCTTCCAGCACTCAGGAGACTGAGGCAGGAGGGTCCATCATAAGTTTGAGGCCCACCCGGCCACATAGTGAGTTCTAGGCCAGCCTGGGCTGGATTGAGACCCTATCTCAAAACAGCAAAGAAGAAAAAAAGAAAAAACAAAACTCAGGTAATTAGGTGAAACAAGGGACAGAAGCCACTCAAGCTGTCAGCTGCTGTACGAAAGTAAATAAACTAAAATTTCCTTCCCCCAAATGGGAAGGAATGCTCAGTTACATTAAACACACCTGCATTTGTTGCTGGTGGTGACATACTTGAGTGATTTATGACAGGCTGGAAACATACAATAGGGTACCACCTCACCCCTTCAGAAAAGAGAATGCAAAGAAGGATGGCATGGGGGAACAGCGGTGTGACATCCACCTGTGTGAGGGGTGACACTTTAGAGGGAGATGAAGCAGCAATATAAGCTTTGATCTCCAAGGGGAACAGACTGTGAGGAAGAGCTAGGGGATCTGATCAACAGGTGCAGTGGTCAGCATCCAGGACAGTGGAGGTGGGGGTGGGGACAGGAGATGGCAGAATCACATGACACTTCATTAGTGCTTCTAGGGAATGTATTTCTTTCTTCAAATGCTTTTGGAACATTTTTAAGGAGTGGGCCTGTCTTTACAATACAGAAAACTATAACATGGGGGACTGGTGAGGTGGCTCAGTAGGTAAAAAGAGCTTGCTGCCAAGCCTAACTGAGTTCCATCTTTGGAACCCACATAATATAGAGAACCAACTCTTGCAAGTTGTCCTCTGATCTCCACATGCATGCTATGATATGTATGCCCCTCCCAATAAATAAATAAATGTAATTTTTTAAAAATTTAAAAACTTTTTAACATGGGGGACTGGTGAGGTGGCTCAGTAGGTAAAAAGAGCTTGCTGCCAAGCCTAACTGAGTTCCATCTTTGGAACCCACATAATATAGAGAACCAACTCTTGCAAGTTGTCCTCTGATCTCCACATGCATGCTATGATATGTATGCCCCTCCCAATAAATAAATAAATGTAATTTTTTAAAAATTTAAAAACTTTTTTGCTTTATTTTTAGTGTGTGTGTGTGTGTGTGTGTGTGTGTGTGTGTGTGTGTGTGTATAGCATGCATGTATGCAAGTTCACCCAAGTTGTGCAATGCCTGCAGAGGACAGCAGATGGCATCAAATCCCCTGGAACCGGAGTTAGGGACAGTTGTTAGCCGCCATGTGGGTGCTGGGATTGGAACCTGGGACCTCTGCAAGAGCAGCCAGTGCTCTTAACTGCTGAGCCATCTCTCTAGCCCTCATAATTTAAAAATTTTTTAAAAAGGAAACTACAAGAGTTGAATAAACAGGCAGCCTCTTCCTTTTCCTTCTCCTCCTCCTCCTCCTCATCTTCCTCCTCCTCTTCCTCCTCCTCCTCCCCTGCACAGAGACACAGTCACACAGGATCAGTGCACTCCCCACTTAACTAATCATATCCACAGAAGCCCTGCTTCCAAATGAAGCACCTGAGGTCTTGGAGATAAGGACTTCAAAGTGAATTTTTGGAGGCACAGATCAGACAGTCCCTGAGGCCAGGAACAGTGACCCTCATTCCACACTTGGAGAGTTCCAGTCCAGGAGGCCATTGTGTTTCTTGAAGTCGGAGACAGCACTTGCTCATTACCTGTTCATGTTCCCTCAATCCTCTAAGCCCAAGAGCACTAAACACCCCCTTTAGAGATGAGGACCCTTTTCCTCTGCTGTGGGGATTCAAATCTGAGCCATGGGCATCAGGAGCAGATTTTGGAATTGCCCCTCACACAGCATGGTGAGAGACCTAGCCTTCTCCAGCAACTACCTCCCTCCTGACCACACCGTATCTTAAGCCACCAGTGTGACTCTCAAGGGACAATTGCTTCACAGCACCACATTGATATGGGTTGCATATGCTCAGCCACGGAGATTTCCTCTCTCAGACAAACACTTCCTGACAAGAAGACTTCAGTCCATTTATCTGTAGTGGGAGAAAGTTGGAATGCACGATTTTCATGAACTGCAAAGGGTATAAAACAGGAAATTTCAAGGCAGGAAATATATCCTCAGAGGGTCTGCAGGAGCGCAGTTGGATAGAAGGAACCCCATGTCTCCCTGTAGGGAGCAGTATAGCTGTTCTCTGAATCCCATCCACAGGCTACTGTGTCACCACATCCATCATTGCAATCCCTCATCCTATTTTCTCTCACCCAGTACATGGCCCTCATGCCCATGTCTCTCACCTGTGTACTCTGTCAGGGTCTTTTCCCTACTAGACCTTCATGAGAGAATGACGACGGACACCTGGGTCAAACCCTGACCACAGGAGCCTCTCCAAAAGTACTGCCATGTGCCATTAGGAGGTGGCAGATAGCTGGAGTGTGGCAGAGTGAACTGCACCTATTTCTCCTTCTCCTTCTGGATTAACAGGCTCGAAATCCATGGACGTGGCCAAGAGCACATGTACCTGCTCCAAAGAACCTTTCACCAGCAAAGACTGGTTATTTAGGGTATATGTTTTCAGAGCTGTCTGTCTCTGGCCCTCAACCTGGTAAGAGCTGTCAAGAGGAAGAAAACCTGCCTCCTGTCAGGATGTGGTGCTCAGTCTCTGCTCACTGTCTTTCCTTCTGGGATGTGGGTTGCCTTCCCTTTACTGGTCACAGCAGCTCTTCTCTTTCAAATTCACTGTTTTCACTGAGGAAGATGGGCTTTCCTCACATCTACCACCCACAAGACTGGGAAGTGGGCACAGGCCTCTAGGCTCTTGGCCATCTGCAGAAAAACCAGTGTCCTGCCTCCCAGGAATGACAGGGTGATGGGCCTTCCCCAGGAATATCACTGCCTGGCCAGCAGGAGCACAATGCAGGATGAGGTACAAGAGAGGACCACACCTCCAACATCCTTCTACAGCCTCTGCCGGAATCTGGTTTCATGACTAAGACAGCATAAAAAAGACATTGGGAGATGTCTTCATCTTGGCTGAGGCCCAATTTTGGATTCCACTGGACAGAAGGATGAAAAATGGAAGGGAGAGAGTGGTCCATCTCAGAGAGAGAGAGAGAGACAGACAGACAGACAGACAGACAGACAGACAGACAGAGACAGAGATGGAGACAGAGACAGAGACAGAAAAGCAGAGAGATAAAGAGATACAGAGAGATAAAGACAGAATGAGAGTGACAGAGGCAGAGAGACATAATAGAGTCATACAGCGCTTGATACAACTGAGGGATCAGCAGTTGCTGTCTGGGGCCTTGGTGGCTTGTACCTCACACACACTTCCCTATCTCATTTTGAATCAAGTTTATCACCCAATAAATAGGGTCCTCCCCAACAAGCTCAGATTGACACCCAACTGAGATCATTCCGTTCCCCTAATCCTGTTCCCTCTTCAGAGGTGCTGGTGTAGGTCTGACAACTATCCTTGCTGCTCTCTATAAAGCATGTGCCCTGAGGTGCCTTGTCCCTCTTCAGACAAACAGTGGCTTTACAGTTCAGGGTGTTGAGTCAGTGTACGCTCTGGGCTATGTATATATAAGTGTTTAGGGGGGAATGTCTCAGGCCACCTGTTGTATCTCCTCTTCATCTTTTGTTCCTAATAGTTGCCATCTGGGCTGAGACAGTGCTCATGACCATTTACAACCCCAGGACAATGATATCACAGAGGAAAAGAACAAAGTGCTACTCTGCAGTGTGTGGGAGCCAGGAACTCCTCCTGACTTCAATGGCACTGTGTCTGTCAGGAAATAAGCCAGACCTCAGTCTTCTCCTAGCTGGCCACACCACCTTTCTGGCCTTCCATGCATCAGTAGATGGTGGTTGGGCCTTAGATCCAAGCTTGGGAAGTATGGTGCTGGCCTCAAGCAGAACACAGTGGTATCTGGTCAACCATGAGGACTGACAGGCAACAGCCAACTGCTAGGTCCCCAAAGTTGGGCCCACCACAGCTTTTCAGTGGTAGACAGTGTCTCTTCTCAGTGCTGGCACACAGTAGGGCTTTTGCAGACCAATAGATGTGAAGAGCTGGCACAGGAGGGTGCTCAGGGGACCATGTGCAGATTCCAGCTCACAGCAGAGATGAGGGATCACACCACAGAGATGGTGGGAGCAGCATGCTTGCCAAGAACCTGAGCACCTCTCCCAAGGGATGGCCACAGGACACTGGCCAGGTCAGTGGCACTAAAAGAAATTTATGGGGACAGCCTTTGTGCCCCGGAGAGATGAGGGTGGAATGAGAAGTGGCAGCACGTCCCTTGGAGAGCTGCTGCTCTGCTGAATGACAGTGGACTCATGCCTCATGCTCAGGGACACCAATGGGCCTCAGCCAACACGAAGCCATACATTCAGAAACCATGCAGGTATTTCTGGGAATAACATCTGGTGAGATTCTTGGGAGGCTGGTCTCCAGGGACAGTGTTGATGCCCTGTTGCATGGTGGCTTCCTGTCTCAGCACACATGTACAGGTCCTTGCAGAGCATTCAGGGTAAGTAGATGTTTGTTCACTCTTCCCAGGAATAGTGTTACACAATACCCTACCAGTAGAGCCCTCTTCATATAGGCCTGGAAACAAGTTAATTTTGGGAGACACAGACTCACATCAGCCACACATTAGAAACAAGACACTAAAATGTACATAGATGCATGCAGATGCCTCCCACACAGTCACATGGAGATGGGGAGGGATCTCAAACTGGTCACAGGGTCACCACCAGCTGCACTGAGGGGATCAGCAGCCAGGTGGCAGACCACCTCCTCTGTCCCCAGGGCTGTAGGTATGACCCCCGGTATGTTCCTCTAGGCAGTGACAACCCTCATGAAGTCCCTTGGGTCATTGGTGCTAGCAGATCTCCCAGAGTCAGATGACAGATCATGCTCCAGGGCAGGTTCAGATCTTCATATTCTCTGTCAACAGCTATGCCAGAGTCCTGTGTTGCCACAGCCCTGGACCCTCTATAGGGGCCTTTGGGTGCTCAGTGGGACCTGGTCAGAGTTCACACAGCAGGAGAGAAGCAGACTAGACTGCAGGCCTGTGGAAGCTGAGGGTGTTTCACAGCGAATGCACTATGTCCACCACTTCCTACTGGGAGATTTGGGGTAGCCATGCATTCAGTGTCACTGCCCCCTACCCCACCCCCCCACAACTCCAGAAGATCAGCATTTAAGGAACCAAGTACAGGTGGCTTCCACCTTCCAGGTTAGGTTGCATAACTCCAATTTTGTGGTAGCAGAGACAGGTCTGACTCTGAGTGTCATCCTCAAGGTCTGAACCACCAGAGACAGCTAGGGTGTTGGCTCCCTTTTAGGGCCTTCCAGACCCAGAGGCCAGGCTGCCCTGTAGGCCCCCACCAAGGTGCCTTCATCCTGAGAAGGAAGGGTGAGATGTCAAGGACTTAGCTGCAAGCTGGGATGAGGTCCTGTTGGTCACAGCTCCATGCCTGATAAAAACCAGGGCCAGGAATGGTAACACATACCTGCTATCCTAGCACCTGGGAGGCTGAGGCAGGAGGACTGTGAATTTCTTGAAGGAAAGCTCCTTAAGCAAATAAGTAAACAATTTAATAGCTCCTTAAGTAAACAAGTAATTTAATAGCTTCAGGAAGTCCCTGAAACTGACCAGATTCACTAGGCTCCTCCATCCCTGTCCTAGTTTGTTTCTTCATTGCTGTGACAAAATACTCTGAGGAAAGGGAGCTTGGGGAGCTCCCGGGTCATCCAGGAGCTCAAGGTAGGAACTCAGGGCAGGAACCTGGAGGCAGGAGCTGGAGCACAGGCCATGGAGGAACGCTGCTTACTGGCTTGTTCCCTTGGCCCCTGCTCAGCCTGCTTTCTTATGCAACACAGGCCTACCTGCCCAGGGGTGGCACCACCCACAGTGGGCTGGGCTCTCCCACATCACACAACAATCAAGAAGATGCCTTGCAGACATAGCCACAGGCCAGTCCAATGGAGGCAATTCCCCAAATGAGGCTCCCTCAACCCAGATGTGTCAAGTTGACACTAAAGCTATCCAGAACACTCCCCAAGCGCGCACACACACACACACACACACACACACACACGGCTAGCAGTGAGCACTGCTAAGAGACTCTCAGACCAGTGGAACTGCCTGGAAGAGGCAGATCAGCCAAGCTGCCAGCCTGAGCTACACAGGGAGTCCCTGTCTCAGAAAACCAAAACCAAAACAATACAAACTGAAAAAGAAAGAAACAGGGCTTCTGACACAAAGCACAGGACAAGTTGAGGCACATCTTTAGGGAACCCCAGTTTCTCTAGGATCTGTACTGCTGGAGACTCCAGCCTTCTCAGAGACCAAGAACATGGGCAGGGTCCAGTAGATGGGGCAATTCTGTCCACCAGCTTGGGCCTAGGGAGAAGGCCCAGCCTCCCATCCACCACGCACTTAGCTTGCATTGATCAGAGCTGACAGCTGAGCTGTTCATAGCTCAGACGATGAATATGCATGGAGATTACAAACAGGAGACTGGGGACACCAAGGCTGTGGCTTCTGGGGAAGGTTGTTCGTTTTTGATGACACTGTTTAATTTGGATTTGCTGGCCTCCTTTCGTCATCCCAGGGGCAGGCTTAGTAATCAAGATCTACATAATGTGCTTTGTGCCGTAATTAAAGCTGCTACTTAATTAGAAAAGCTGTCCACCTCCAGACAAAGGGAGAGCAAGGATGGCTTTGACACAGAAGCATGAGAACTCTTTTTGAGCGGATGGCGCCGCCTGGGTGGGTGCTGGGATATACTCAGCATGCACATGCACACACTCCTGTAGCCCGTCTCTGACGACCACACTTGCCAGTCCCACAGGCATGTTCTGATCATGGTGGGAGTGAAGTCCTTGAGAAACTCACAGTGGAGAAACTTTGAGCCAGCCTGTACTGAGCTTGCATTATCTGTTTGCCCATTGGCCACCCCCAGACACCAGCCACTAAATACCAGGTGCTGGACTGCTGAATGGACAGCACTAGCAGACACCACTGATGTCACAGCCCACCTGTCTACTTTGGTGTCAATAATGGCATATGTCTTGTTGATTGAACATAACAGCCTCCAAGCTTATGCATATAAGCTTATACATAATGCCATATAATAGCCATTTCCTTCCATGGTTCTGAGGAACAAGAGTCTAGGGGCCTCTGCAGAGATTTTGAGTTTGGGAAGACTGTTGTGTGCTGCAGTCACATGGGGACTTACAGGGACATGAAGAGGGTGAACAACCAAGAGACACTCGTCCAAGTGTCTCTCCATGCATTGTCTCAGAGCCTGCCCTCATCACTTAGTCTATCAGCCTATTTGCCAAGATGTCTGATTGCTCCTGTTTTTTGTTCTTTTTTTTCTCAATGGATCCAGCATGTTTATGACCCAGTCTCTTGTAGCTGGTTCTTATCATGCCCATGCTCTGGCTGGCAAGGCTTGGGACACATGCCTCAGCTGGAGGGGGCTCCCCCAACATGGAACTAGACATGGGGAGAGACAGCCCAAGAGCTGAATGATAAAGGGATGTTCTGACCACACACGTCCTCAGTGTCCTCACCCTAGGAAGGGGACTATCTAGCAGGGAGGACCCAGTGTTCTTTGACAGGACAAGTGAGAACATCCTGGTAGAGGAGAACTGTCCAGGTAGGGAGAGCACTTCAGGAGAGGGTGTCTCCTCCCACACACCCCATAGCTCTTCCTCACCCCTTTCCAACCTAAGTCAGGACCCTACACTCAGACCCAAGAGCTGAAAGTGAGAAGAAAGGTCCAGGGTCTCACCAGGCTCTGTCGCAAAACTCGTCCTAAGCCTTTGAAGGCGGCAGCTAGCTCCCTGTGTATATCTCAGGATGTAAATAATTCAAACTTTTGAGTTGTAAAAAAAAAAATAGCCCTACATAAAAGTACTAGGCGAGGGTCACTGAGCAACATCCACACCAGCATAACAACAGCACCAAAAGCCGGTGGGACAAACACACTGGGTGGGGTCTCAGGGCTCAAGCTGGGGTGTCCGTGTACACATGTACACATATACAGCTACACATATGCAGCCCAGCTACCTCCAGCCTGTCAGTCTCTGGGTCCAAAGGGAAGAGGGACTGCTCTTAGGAATGGGTGTCAAAGAGGATGAGCTTGAGCTTGACAGCAGAGAAAAGAGAGAGACAAAGACAGAAAAATAGAGATAGAGAGATAGGCACAAGGAGATTGAGGGAGACACAGGTAGACAGAGAAAGAGGAAAACACACAGAGAAACACGGGTTAAGAGAGACAGAGGAAGACAGAGACAGAAAGATAGAGGCAGAGAGATACAGAGACAGAGAGACCAAGGGAGACAAAAACACAGACCAAGGGGCCATCTGTAGCCCTACACTCCTGCACGGCAGAGCCCCATCCCCAGCCCTCAGCTTCTAGGACCAGGCTGCTCACCTCTTAGGCCTGTAGTCAGGGATGGTCCTGTCCAGGGAGATGCGGTCACTGAGCTGTGCGTTGTACCCAAACTCCTCGAACTTGCCCTCAGTCTCCTGGCTGTTGTCCTGAAGGGTGGCAGCCACACCTCCCTGGCCCAGGCCACCTGGACCTTCCACCAGCCCAATGGGCTTTGCAAGGCCTGGAGGAGACAAGAAGAGGCAGGTCAGTGGATCCTGAGAGTTGCTCCTAGCAGACCCACCCCATGACGAGTGTCCTGTGGGAACCCAACACTACTGCACCAGAAAAGGGTGACCATGGAGTCTGCAGACACAAGGTTGGTGTGATCCAGGGAGGGTGAACAGATGCAGCATGAATCAGGCAGTGTGACCACTCCATGTGACACCATGATATTGAGAGCAAGTTACTACATGCCCACCACAGAATCCCAGCAGTGCAGGGAGGCCAAATTAAGACCTTCAACCTCAGCTACTAATCACAGGTTATTATCAGCTCACCATTATTTTTTAAAATATTTTTATTTATTACTTTTTGTGTATGAGTGTATTGCCTGCATGTGTATAAGTGCAGCCGTGTCATACAATGCCCAAGGAGGTCAGAGGATGGTGTTGGATCCTCTGAAACTGGAGTTATGGATGGTTGTTAGCCACCATGTGGGTGCTGGGAATTGAACTTGGGTCCTCTGCAAGAGCAGTCAGTGTTCTTAACTGCTGAACCATCTCTCCAGTCCCATCAGCTCACCATTATAATTGACAATTGCACTTGCCTAAGATGTCACTAAAGGGGATGTAGGGGCCAGGGACTGTGGACCTCTCTAGACTCTAGGCTCACTGTTTCTATAAACCTGAAGCTGTTCTAAAGAGTAAAGTCGGGACTGGTGAGATGGCTCAGAGGGTAAAATCACTTGCTGCCAAGCCTGAAGACCTGAGTTCAATCCTTAGAACCCACATACCAACAAGGTGGAAAGAGAAAACTGACTCCCAAAAGTAAGCTGACTTTCACATGCATGCTATGGCACACACACATACACACACACACACACACACACACACACACACACACAATCAATCAATCAATCAATCAATGCAATAAAATCTTAAAAATGAGTGAAGCCAATTAATGTACAAAATTTTTAATTGTGGGGCTGAAGAGATGGCTCTGTGGTTAAGAGCACTGACCTCTCTTGCAGAGGACCTGGGTTCGATTCCCAGCACCCACATGGTGGCTACAAACCATCCTTAACTCCAGTTCCAGGGGAATGCGAAGCCCTCTTCTGACCTCCGAGGCATTGCATGACACAGATGCACTTACATACATGCAGGCAATACACTCATACATATAAAATAAAAATAAAATAAAATATAAAATTTTAATTGTAAAGAGCTAAAAGAGATTAAGCTTTTAAATACAAAGTCATTGTCCCCCCTGTGGACAGTGTTTGTCTTCCGAACCAATTGCAAATTGGTGCCACACACAGCTTCAGGCTGAGGACATGGGAATAACCGAAGGAATGGCTAAAACAAGGTACTGGAGAAAGCAAGGCAGCATAGAAGGCAAGAGAGTCCTACAGGACCCTCTAGAAAGCTCAGGTAGACACTTGCTCTGCCTGGGGTCACAGAGGCTGCTCACCTTCGGTGGGGTAGGGTGGGGCTGTGGCACCTGGGAAAGTTCTCAGCAATCACTTGAGTCAGGAGAGTGGACATGGCTCAGAGCATCTCTCCTAGAGGAATCCTGGTCCAGGGCAATGTCCATATGCAAGGAGAGTACCTGCCATTCTCCAAAGTGGGGGCCAAACTAGGCAGTGTGAAGTGTGAACTTCCACACTCCAAATAGCCAGGGGGCTTCTCTGGTCAGTCCAGGCTCCTGGACCCCTGAGTATTCTGGAATATTTCCATTTGAACTGTGCAAACATAGAGTTGAACTTCGTGTAGGATTGAAGGATATGAATCCAATATAAAATTGAAAAATTATGAGACACATCAGTCACTTGCTTATTTTTATCTTAATATTGCAACATATCTGAAGACTATGCTTTGGACATGGTCTCTGTAGCCCAGGCTGGCCTGGAAATTCACTATGTAGCCCTGGTGGCCTCAATCCTCCTGATTCAGCTTTCTAAGTTCTGGATTATAGGTAAGCACCACAAAACCCAGCAAAATCCTGCTGTTTTTAAAATCTATGTGCTGTACTTGCGTTTTTCACTTTAACTTTTTAAGATGGGTGTCTCCCAGAGGCAGAATGCAGCAGCTTCCAAACTGGCGGGAGCCTGGCTGTAGGGTGGCTAGAGCTGTTCAGGGGGTACTGGGTACCCTGTGTTGGGGTTTCACTTGTAAAGGTTAATATGTCTTTGGTGAAATATCCAGAACACAACATCTGTGCTGCCTCTCCTGCACACACCACTCTTCACGCTGGCCTTCGTTCTTTTTATTTCCCAGCCAGCACATGAGCACTATAGGGGTATGGATCTGGTTCTTACTCTGTGAGCCAGAGACAAGTCCCAGGGCTCCTCAGTGTGAAAAATGAGTGGAGTGTTTCCACTTCCACCTACATCCCCTCCCCTGCACTGCCTTCCCCTGATTTTTCTCAGCTCTGTTATATTTTTAGTGATGCTGGTGGCTGCCCTAGTGGCTTCAAGAAGAATGCTGAAGGTTCTATTTCTGGGCATCAACTTTCACCAGTGCCCCTAGACACCCCCACACACAAGACAATGAATGCACAGGCTTCCTGCCCATGCCTTCACACAATGCCCTCAAGCTCATCTGCAATAGCCCTGGCTTGCTCTGCAACTGCAGGTCAGATTCCACAAGATTTTAAGATGAGAAACAAGTCAGTATTTACCCTGATGTGAACAGAACTTTCCATGGAGCCCAGCACTGAGGTGCCCAATAGGACCAAAGCTTAATTCTATTACTAACCAACCTTGGGTCACTTAATGAAGAATTTTCAAATGCCAATGCTCTCATTTCCCATACCTTCATACACTTGGCTGCTTTAGTTTGGGCAGTGACCTACATCTTGCTCTAGCTGGGCATACAAGGGTGGTAGTCACAGTATTTGTTGGCATGTGCCCTGCCAACATGCTCACTTTCTCATTTTCCATTGCACCCCTAGGAAGCCAGTGCTGTGAGACACTCCAATCTGCAGATGAGGAAACTGAAGTGCAGAAAGGTCCACATCCAAAGTCATGGTGTCTCTGAGCATATGCCCACACTCAGGCAGCGTGGCTGAAATCAGCTGATCTCCATGCCATGCCTGAGGCTTGCTAATGAAGTGACTGTGGGGTGACAGGCTCCTTGGTTTTATGAATCCCATATCTTAGGTCTAGGACTTTCTTTTCACTTGGCTGAAGTATATTACCAAATAATACTTCAGAAGGATTGTGTGGAATGTGACCTTTCTAAGCTCTAAGGCAGCTGAAAACCCTTTTCTTTTCCTCAGGATTGGCAGATAACTTTGCTGGGTATAGAATTCCTGCTCAATGTCTTCTTTCCCTTACCTAGCTCCAGGGTTGCTATGAGTTCCAGTGTAGGGGACCATTTCTACTTTCTGCAGATCCTCTCTCTCCTCTCTCATCAGGGCATATCTGGAGTTTACTGTGATCATGCTCAGTCTTTAGAAAATCTTTTACCCCATACCTGATGTGTTTATTACATTCTGGGAGATGTGTTCTGCCACCTGTGAGATTATTCCTGCCTGCCTTCCAACTTGCTCTTCTGCAACTTACTTTAAAGATTTCTTTTCTTTTGGTCTTTTTGAGACAGGGTCTCCCTGTAGCCCCAGTTGGACTGGAACTTGATATATAGACAGGCTAGCCTTGAACTCACAGAAATCTGCTTGCCTCTGCCTCCTGAATGCTGGGATTAAAGGCTTGTGCCACCATGCCCAGCTTTCTTTTTCTTTTTAAAAAGATTTTGTTTTCTGTTCATTTATGTTTATGTGTGTATGTCTATGTGAGTGTATGCCACGTGCCTGTAAGTATCTGCAGACCAGAGGAGTATCAGATCCCCTGGAGCTGGAGTTACAAGCAGTTGTGAACCATCTTGTAGGATGCTTAGAGCTGAACTTCAGTTTTCTGGAAGAGCAGCAAGCACTCTTAATCACTGAGCCGTTTCTCTAGCCTGTCATTTCTCTAGTCCCTGTTTTTAACTTTCTCTCTCTCCTCTCTTCTCTCCTCTTCTCTTCTTCGTATGTGACCCGGCTTTCTCTCTTTCTCTCTCTCTCTCTCTCTCTCTCTCTCTCTCTCTCTCTCTCTCTCTCTCTCTCATAGAGACATATGATTGTGAGTTACCTGATACAGGTGCCGAGAATCAAACTTGAGTCCTCTAGAAGAGCAGCAAGTACTCTTAATCACTGAGCTATCTCTCCAGCCCTGCAACCTTTTCTAAATAAAGATTTCTCCTCTTTATTAATTTTCCTCCTGTTGACTTCTTTTTCATTCTCAGAGACTCTCAAACCATCAGCTTGATGTTCTGTCATACCCTTGTGGCTAGTTAGCCCACCCATGGTATTTTTTCTTGTTAACAGTATTTTTAATTCTGAAGAATGTCTTTTTGTTTTCTGCCTGCCTTTGTCTTGCACTGATGACATGCTGGTTTTCTGCTGGTTGCCGGGCAAACTCCTTCTGCTCGTGGTCTATCTGATCTTCATTCAACCCCAGGGCATGGCCTCCCCAACCTTCAAAGAGCAGGTGAGGAAACAGACCCAGAATTACAAAAGCATCCCAGTCAAGACCTCACTCAAGCTGCTCATTGGAAGAGTGGAACCAGGGTCCCAGGCTAGGCTCCTGCTCAGGAACCTCCACTATAAGGAATCAAAGCAAAGTCCTGGCAGCTCTGGTCCAGGCCTGGCCCTCACCATCCTTCCTAACATCTGACCCTACAGGACACACTGTGCATCTCATTCTTTTTGGAGAAGCCTTATGTATCAGTTACTTTTTTGCTGCTGGGACAAAAACACCTGACAAAAGCAACTTAAGGAAGTAAGGGCATATTCTGGCTCACAGTTTGAGGGTGCAGCCCATCATGGTGGGGAAGGCACAGTGGCAGGAGCTAGAGGCAGCTGCTCACATTGCATCTACAGTCAGGAACAGAGAAATGAATGTTGTTGCCCAGCTCACATTTTCTTTATTCGGTCTGGGACCCCAGTCCATGGATGTCACCCACATTCAGGGTCTTCACATCT